ACCGGCTCAGCGCGGCTCAGCGCTGGCGCCGGCGGCGGGCGGCCACGCCTCCCAATACGCCCAGCCCGGCGAACCACATCGCGAGGCTCTGCGGCTCGGGCACGGCCGACACCGCCAGCACGTCCGACACGATGGGCAGCGAATTCGAGCCCGCCACCGTCGTCCAGTTCGCATTCACGGCGAGCGCGGCCTTGAGGTCATCGACCGAGCTGTAGGGCGTGTCGCTCGTGCTGACCTGCGCGGTGAACTGGGTGTAGCGGGTCGCCGTCGTGGCATCGATCTTGAACTCGCGGACCTGGATGCCGGCCAGGCCGGTCGCGGCCGTCGGGTTGTCCGAGCTGCTGTAGGTGCCGCGGTTGGAGATGGCCCCCAGGAAGGTGATCGCGGACGGCTGGTAGTTCGTCGCGAAAGCGGCGGCCTGGAAGGCGTACAGGATGTCACCGCTGCTCGAGATGTTCGAGGCCCCGCCCGTCAGGTTGGTGACCGAGCCGCTCGCCGTGCCGCCCGCAGCACCCGACTTGGCGGTGTACGCACCGCTCACGCCCGTCCCCAACAAAGCCACCGAGGTGCCGGCCGCCACGTTCGCACTGGCCGTCCACGACCAGAACACTTCCGGCGCGGTCGAGAACACGCCGGCCGACGTGGGCGTCTGCAGCACATTGGTGTCGGTGAAATAGATCGTCGTGCCGGCCGCGAGGTCGACGAAGGTCACGAACGACCAGCCGCCGACCGTCGTGTTGACGTTCACGCCGGTGAAGGCGAAGTCACCATTGGCCAGCGAGGTGCCGGCAGCCTCGGCGGTGCCGAGGGACGCGACCGCGAGCGCGATCAGGGACAGGGTCTTGCGCATGGGAGTCTCCAGGTTGTCGTTGTGGCAGGGGATCAGCGGGTGCGGCGGCGGGCCGCGATAAGCAGCAGTAGCCCCGGCAGCAGCAAGGCGGCCGAGGCCGGCTCCGGCACGGCGGCCGTGGCGAGCAGCAGGTTGTCCAGCGACACGCCGTAGTAGCTGTCGCGGTTCGTCAGCGAGAAGCCGGCGATGTCGGACACGCCGCCGCTGCGCGCGAAGGCGTAGCGGCCGTCGCTGCGGCCGCGGAGGTCGACGGCCTCGATGAGGCTGCCGTCAGCACGGTAGAGCTGCAGCGTGACGACGCCGCCGTCCACGTCGCGCAGTTGCAGACCCAGCGCCGACACCGGCGACGCGAATCGCGCCGACAGCGCGCCGAAGCC